CATCCACAGTAGGGATTGGATGACGGCCGCGTATGATCGCTTAATTCGCGCGTCTCATATCTAGACAAAGTCTAATATCGCCGTTCGGTTTCGGTACCACGACGACAGGGTTGACCCAAGGTGTCGGGCCATCAACGGCTTCGATTATGTCAAGGCACTCTAGTTCGCGTATTTTTTGTTCTACTCTACTGCGCAAATTGAATGGTGTTCGCCTACACTCTAAAAACTGTGTTTAGCAATTAAACACAATCAAACAATCTAAACATGTCCAATTCCTAAACACCATCAAATTCGTGTATAATTCCTAAACAGACAGTATTTATATCCTAAACATCAACACCCAAATTCACTTTCTAAACATTATTGCGCGATCCCGTTGTGCTGATTGGCTCCCGGTAGTCATGTGACATGTGCGGCGCAAAACGGCAAAAAGTAATGCTTCACCGACGCCATCTTGTTTGAGCGCAGCCAGCGAGGGTCATCGGTGCCTCCCCGATGTCGATCAACGGAATGCATAACATGGAAACAATTCTGCAGGGGATTTTACCCCCTCAAATACTGCAAACCTTAGAGGGTAAGTTTTAAATCATTATGTGTGCACAACAGACGATATTGTTCCGTTTTGGGGCGAGGAAGAAAGTTTTATACCACTCACTGCCGGACGGTTGAACCGGCCTGCTGCATGCATTCATGCGGTACGGTAATGACGGTAGGCCTAGCGTATGCGGTATACACCGCGGACGCGTTTTGAGTAGGCCGGCTAAGGTTACAGGCATGCATACCGGTCGGAGTTTGTGTAGTTCAGGACACCACCGGTTTTTTGTTATTCTTCAGAAAGTTTTGTCTCTGCCCCAAAGCATGCAAAGTCTGCAACCTCACGAAACGTTCTTCTACTTCTAGTTCTAGGCTAGCCCCATTAATGTGGCCAATTTACTGGACGTACATGACTATAGTCTAGGCCTAGCCTAGTCCGAGTATCTTGGACCCAACTTATTGCCTTTTTTAACATTTGGACATGGTCTGGCGATAGTAGGGTCCAAGCTAATACCGCGAGCTGGACAACACCGTCCCAAAAACCAACATTTTCCAACAAAAAACATCAGATTTCACCTTCAAAACGGCCTCCAAATTACTAGATAGGCCCTATGCCACCTGAAGTACAAGTAGACATCGATGATTGAGATGGTTGTACTGAAGTTTACTTACGATCCGGAAAAAAGTGAAATTTTCCGTTCATTTCGGAGAGCTCCCCTCGCGATCTTGAACACGTTAAATTTCCGATCGTGTTTAATGTTTGAACGACGCGATTTTCTTCTTCATGCCCAGCGTACATTCAATGGTCCCCGTATCCCGAGTGCGATTCCGCTACCGAGCGCGCGCGATGCATCGATTATGATAATGAGTAGACTGGATCACGTTTGTAAACACATGTGCATTTCAAACGATAATAGGGAGTCGGGAACTAGCGCAGCTTTTATCGCGGATACCAGTTCAAGCTGGTTCCTGATTCCCTTTTACAGTTCGAAATGCACATGTATGTGTTTACAAATGTGACTCATTATCATAATCGACGCACTTCATATCCTGGACTCCCTCCGTAACGTAGGGAGGAAAGGGTGTCCACCTGGGCTAAGTCTAGGCCTAGCCCTAGGCCTACCTCTGTAAATAAAGGCCACACTTCCACCAGGCACCATTTCACATTTAGGGTTAGTTTGTAGGCATAGTTTATTTTTGCATAAAGAAGCATACTCACTCACCCTCTTTCTAGGCTAATGCGCTTTCAAATGCTTCCCCCACCCTAGCCCCACTAGTGTGGCCGCGGTATGCTGCGTTGAACCTCTGGCCACACACCAGGGTATTGCACACTCCTGAGGAGGTTCTCAAAAATATTACGCAAATTTTCTTACATGGTTGTATTTTATGATGTCTCAGCTTTCACTTCTGAGATGCTTTGGTGTAATAATATCTAATTTTTCCAATATGCACGCAAAAGTCGTCTGTTAATGGCAGCCATTTTGAATGTACAAAACGATACCCCAAAGCTGTAACGTCGCGCTTATGCAAATCGATCTTGTCGGATCAGGCCATCAGGCGTGCGGGTGGCGTCAGACGGGCTAATCATGAGACCATGTGATAAACACTGCTAATTATTTGGAATTGTACATCTATCTGGACATGTGGAGTGTCCGGAGCGTCAGTGCGATACCAAATTATCCGCAGCAATTATCACGTGGCCTCGTGATGCCATCGCATCACAACTCGCGCGCCTGTTGAGCAAGAAGATGATTTGCATAAGCGCGACGTCACAGCTTTGGGGTCATCGCTTCGTACATTCAAAATGGCTGCCATCAACCGACGATTTTCGCGTGCATATGGGCTCCAGAAAGATTTTAAAAAAATTCGGAAAATTGGATATTATTACACCTAAGCATCTCAGAAGTGAAAGCTAAAACATCATAAAATACGTGTAAGAAAATGTGCGTAATGTTTTTGAGAACCTCCTCAGTAGTGTGCAATACCCTGGTGTGTGGCTAGAGGTTCAGCGCAGCATACCTCGGCCACACTAGTGGGGCTACCCACACCATCCCACCCCGCGCTGCCCAAGGTCTGATGTCAGGATTTGGTCACGTTTTTCATGCCCCAGGGTGGGGATTTTGGTCACTCAAATTTCACTGTTAACGTTGGCGTATTAATAGAATTAAAGGCAGTCACTTATTGTCACTTCAATTTTGCCCGAGGGGTGGGGATTTTGTCACTTCAAAAGTGACAATCCCTACGTCTTGGGTGGGGCAGCCCGAGAGGGGAGAGTTGGGGGAAACAATTGATAGGCGCATAATCAGAAAGTGCTGCCTTTATCAGATGTCTAATTTTTGTGAAAAATTGCAGCACTGAATTAAATTATTATTATTTGTGCTGGTTTTAAAATGTCAGGTTGGGTCGCAGACATTTAAAAAAAAAGAATACGAACAGTATGCACGTCTTTTTGCTGAATTGTGTATTAATTCCTTGTTTATTTTTGTAGATCTCACTGAGTTAATCTTTTCCGGTTCAATAGGTTAAAAACAAAATTCCAACTTTTTCCCAAGAGGTATGTGGAGTTCAGTCCATGAAAAATAGGTTGTTTGCAACTAGCCCGACTGCATCTGACCGTACAGTACTATCGCAAGCTCTGTAGTACAGCCAGACCGCCAACGCTCCCCTTAACGCTGAACTCTAATGTAGCAACTTTGCTACCAATTTTGATCAAAATTATATATCTTCTCATCCAGGACAAAAATTTCCAAAGTTAAGGTTCCTAGTCAGAGAGGAACTCATACCTTTTCGAAAAAAACGTTCTTTGGTCCCAATATTTTCATCCATCTATCTGGCCAAAAGACGACTTTCAGTCATCATCTTCCACAAATATCGTTCCCGAAAATGTCCTTCATGCGATTTCAAAATGGCGGCCGCGTTGTAATGTATGCATTATGCCGACGTGCTAGGGCATTGCAGTTTATGATGTTTGTCGGGCGTGTGGCGCGGCTGGCCTATGGCCATACAAACATGAGGTCATGAACTGAATAATGCATATTCATAGTACTGTACAGGAATGTACAATTTCCATTGCGTTTGTTTTGCAAATACATGTACATGTACAAGTCCAATATTTGCTATCATTGGTTCATCACGGGCTCTGTGCGCCAATGAAAGAGGGCGTGTTTTTTACCACTTTTGAGAGCCACTTGAGAAGAACTCACAACTTTCTGAATGTGCAAATTTAGTAAATAGCCACCGTGTCTCCGCATGAGCGAATACGTTCGAATCAACTTGCAATGGTACAATTGTACAGATGTACATGTACACTGAGCCTAGCACTAATGTGTACGCTAGTGCAATTGGACGCAGAATGTTCATGGTGTGTGGGATATTGTTTCCGTGTAACGTTTTATTTTTATTATTGCACTTTTGTAAATGTACTTTAAAAATAAAATAGGCCACGCATGAACTTCATCATCGCACATATATGCAAAGATCCTCAGAATCACATCACGTACTTTGTTAGTTCTCTACAAAGATTTAAAGAACTAGAAACACCCATCGACCCCTGAAATGTTAAACTTTGTTTTTGTTTTTCCTTTCATTGGTCGCAGCGAGCATGTGTCATTATCATCGGAATGGAAGTGGGCTCCGTGCACAAGTACCCCTTCAACAGCCAGAAAAGGAGAGTTGGGGGAGACCTAGATCGGTTCCTGTCCATACGGTCCATGACCACTGCATATTTTGAATGATCCAAAGTTATTTGGGGAGGGGGCCGGGGTGATTAGTCTGCGAGACCATCGAAAGTAAAATTCAAACATATTCATGTGCCGACGACGCCTGACGCTCATGCGTGAAGACGCTATGGCTTAGCTTTGTGCACATTCAGAATAAATGAGTTGTGCGTACTTCGCGCATGATGAACCAGTCCAGTAAGGTGTCCCATCCAAGTGGCTCTCAAAAGTGGTAAACACACGCCCTCTTGTGTTGGTGCACGGAGCACATGATGAACCAATGATAGCAAATAGTTGTAGCACATTGCGAAACAAATGCAATGGAAAATGTACATTCCTGTGCAATGTGCCCCTTCTTCTCTGCAAGCCTTAAGGAACTTGTTAAACATCTAGTGAAATGTCACCGAAATGCCCCTGCGATTTATCGTGCACTGCAGTGTAGTAGGTTGTGGAGCATCATTTAAAAACTACGGCAGTTTTAAGTCCCATGTCAGCAGGAAGCATGACAACATTGATATTGAGGTGTGTACTACGCAAAGAGAAAATGATGTTGGAACTGAAGATTTTGAGGATCCTATGGAGAATGCAGAAGATGAGTTTGAGAGCACACATGATCATGCGGCATCCTACTATATGCTGAAATTGAAGTCGATGTGTTACATGTCTGAGAGTGGACTCAACGAAGTTCAAATGTCAACTGAATATTTGGTCAACCAGAAACTTGATGAACTAATAGCCAAATTATGTGAGACAAATAAATTAACACAAGAAGAGATTGATGGTTTGGTTGGTTGCAAACAACCTATTTTTCATGGACTGAACTCCACATACCTCTTGAAAAAAAGTTGGAAAAAAAGATTTAACCTAATAGAACCAGAGAAGATCAAACTTGGTGAGATCTACAAAAATAAACAAGGAATACACAATTCAGCCAAAAGATCATTATATCGTGTTGAAAAGGTAGACGTATATGGTTGCTATGTACCCATTATTGGATCACTGCAGGCACTGTTGAAGTGTCCGTCTGTGAGTAAGCATATCATGACACATACAGTTACTGACTTTGGATCAGACTTAATGGAAGATGTGTTCGATGGATTGTACTTTCAATCAGATCCATACTTACAACAGAATCCACAAGCACTGGCATTTGCTCTGTACTCGGATGACTTTGAATTAGCAAACCCAATAGGAAGTCATCGAAAAACTCATAAATTGACTGCATTCTACTATGTATTGTTGAACATTCCTCCACATCTCAGAACAAAACTTGAGGCAATCCAGCTTGTTGCTATGGCAAAAACTGCAGACTTGAAAACATATGGATTTGGCAAGATCTTGGAAAATTGTAAAAAGTGTTTTCAACAACTGTATGACGGAGTAGTAATGACAACAGTTTCTCCAACGGGTGCCAAACAAAGAACACAAATCAAAGGAAAGCTAGCCTTTGTATTAGGTGATACCCCAGCAGCACAGTTGATGGGAGGATTTAAAGAGGGAGTAGGCAAAGCATACAAGCCATGTCGAACATGTGAAGTCACGCATGAAGAACTAGAGAACAACTCGATAATCATTCCATCACCACTGAGGGATGAAAATGAACATCTTGAAAGGTGCGAGAATCTAACAAGTGAAATGACAAGACAAGCCAGAAAATACTGGTCAAAGATGTACGGAGTAACTAGAAGATCAGAATTTTTGGATGTTCCAGAATTCAAGGCAACAAAGTGCATTCTGCAAGACCCTATGCATGTCCTGCTGGAGGGGATAATTCCAATGGAAACTAAACTACTACTAGTTCACTGTGTTGAAATGAAGTTCTTCACTATCGCAAAACTTAATGCTATCATTAGGAGCTTTGAATACACGCGAGAAGAGAAGAAAGATCAACCTGTTGAAATTTCACGGGATAATGTGCAGTCTGATAGCAAGTTACAGCAAACTGCTCAGTCAATGAAGAACCTTCTTGTGCTCCTTCCTTTCATGATTGGAAACTTCATACCAGAAACAGATGAGAAGTGGATCAACTACCTAAGACTGATACAAATTACGCTGCTCACATTTTCATCGGTAGCTTCAACTCGAACTGTGAACACACTGCAGCTTCTCATCGCAACCCATCATTCTGCATTTAGACGGCTCTACCCAGAAAGGCCAATCACACCAAAAATGCACTATCTCAGTCACATACCAAAGCAGATATGTGATTTTGGACCAGCAAGAAATCATTCGTGTATGCGGCTAGAAGGTAAACATGGCGAGTGCAAAGACAAGAAATATAGAAACTTCAAGGCCATCCACAAATCGGTGACTGTTCAACACCAGTACAAAATGTGCTTGCAGCAGTTCAATGCTGATGGCTCGGCCTCACATGCATACCTTTCAGAGGATGACATTGTTAAGGAAGGGCATACTTGCAGTATTGCTGACAGGGAATTCCGCCATTCTATGATTCAGAGAGAGTATGGAGATTCAGAGGATGTTTGTGCACACCAAGCATTGAAAACTACAGAGCTAATTTCTCGTGGTCATCGATACACAGCTGGCACCATACTGATAAAAGAATGTCCCCAGTGGGAGTATCCAAAGTTCATTACAATTGATGAGATCCTGATCTTCAACAAAGCCACATATTTTATTTGTGAGGAACTAGAAACAGTTGCTTTCAATTCACATCTAAATGCTTTCAGTGTTGCCAACACTGGTGAAGTGAAAACTGTGGCATTGAAGCCAGAAACTGACCTAACATATCACTGGCCCCAGCTTGTGCATACAGTGGACAGGACCAAGTATGTGATGCTTCAAAATGTTGATGATGTATGGCAGTTGTAGCAGTAGGTGAGTGAAACCTCCCTACCCCACTGCAAATGCTATGTAGGGTTAGGATAAGAGTTGAAAGAGTGTTATACATGTACATGTACTTACCCAAGCACTTAACCATACTTGTAAATTACATTTGCGCAAGAATATTGAACATTGATTCTGAAAATGATTCTTGTTAAACAGATGTGCAAGAATCAACGTCATTTTCATTAATCAAAGTTTATGCAGTAGATTTTTGTGCGAGAATTTCATGGATTCTCATGAAAACCTCACTGGAGAATAAAAATAGATTCCCAAAATCTGCAGGGTCAATCTAAACTTGACGTACAAGTAATTTTTAAAATAAAAGTGGATATGTAAGGAAGCAATGGAATATCATATTGTTTTCTTTTGCAAAAGTAGTTCACTGAATGAGGTTACATGTACTTGATTTACTTACATTTAGTTGATTTCTGTTGCATATGTTGCAGAGAATGGTGTAGACTCTTCAGTTTTTCTCAGCCTTACTGAAGATGCCCTTTTCAGAATGTTTCCAGGGAAGGTGGGATATGTCAGGAAGGTGATGATGGTAAGTTATAGTTATTAAGTCATGTAATTAGGCAAAAATAAAATAGTTCTGCTTCTGGTTTCCTTACCAACCCTATTTATACCTTTTACCCTTGACTACACGCAGAGGCCTCAATTTGATCGTACACAAAAAACAATGGCAAAAAACACAATTTCCCTACCTACTGGTACCTACCCTTTTTTTTTAATGTCATGTAATCGGAAGCAGAAATATATATAATATTATTGGCCTTAAACGAGGAATGCACATTGGATGGTTCCGGATACTTCCCGGTTCTACCCGTGTCCAATGTGGGAACCGGAACCTCGAGTCCAATCTTTTCAAGAAGCAGGTACCCGCTATGCTCGCTTCTGGCTACAAAAGAATCGGTTACGGAGTAAATTACCAATTCTCTGTGCACACAGCCCAGAGCCAAGAATCTACTTATTAGGAATTCAATTGCACGAAGGCCCTGGACATTCTCTCTCGCTAGTCAAAACAACGGTGGGGAAAGACACACAGACTTACACACGTTACAAGGAGAGTTGGAGACAAAATTATCAGCTGAGTCCTTTGCCGCTTAATTTTTTGCAGCCAAGAGGCATAAAGCATTGAACCCAATTAATACTGGCCCTGTGCCATGGATACTAAACGTTTTGAATGACACAAGTGCTGGATTCCATTATGCCATGTACATTTTTTGTATTGGACACACAGTGATTGATTGATTTTGATGGACTTTGTCCAGTTCCTATTTGAAGATGATAGGGAGTTATAAGGTTAAAATTTTGAAGGAGTCCTACACTCTTTCCTCTATAGGTTCAAAGCGAACTTAATGCACCTCTAAGTGCAGAGGAAGCCACGGGCCCAGAAGGTGATTCTGATCTGCCTGGAGTACTCCAATCACCAGATGTGAGGTCACAGCTAACAGCAGCTCCAATGGCCCCAAGGATCTTGGACATCAGCAAGCTTTCAAGTCCGAGTATGGCGTCTGTTGGTGCAGGGGGAGACGATGTAGCAGAAGAGGCGGGTAGTCATCAGGATCTAGAGTCTTCTGATGTTGCCCTTCAAGGCCCTTCAAGTAGGCTGGAAACCCCAAAGAGTAAGTATTTTATTGAAACTGCCGTTGCATGTTGATCGGTCAATCCATTTCTAGCAAGCGCTCTATTGGCGGCTGACACTGAAGATATTGAAAGTATTCTTTTTAATACCTTCAAAGCATCGTGAAGTGGTAATGTACAGAACATGGCATCAAATGTCTTGGAAGTTGCAAGGAAAGCCTGACACCAGTGAAATTTAGTTTAGTAGGATAATCTCTCTGCACATAACTGGATTAATCTTCTGTGGATCTTAGGGGGCCTTAAGTGTCCAATTTTATAATACTCTCTTGCTTTATACTGACCATCACTTCCGGTTTAAGGTAGGGTAATCATTTGTCATTTTTGCAGGTTTTCTGTTTGAAGCAACAAAAGTGCTTAAAATCTAAAGATGACGTATATTGCTTTACAATTACAATTATTGAACTGATTAAATTCTAGCTCAGTGAATCTGTATGTATTCATGTTTTGAATTACTCCTGAAATAAGTGTCTGGTACACCTTCTCATTCAACCGATTGCAGCTACACTGCACTGATCTGACGAATAAATGTAACAACCGGGCATGTGTGTGTTGTGTCAATGCGTGCGTGCACCCATTCATGGATTGACACATCTTTGAAAGCGGCTTTCTTTTATTGTTTTCTTCAAAATGACTGCTTTAAATCCCAAACTAGGTGGCCTACGGCGTACAGCAATGTAATTATCTTTTTATTTTATTTTTAATTTTGTATTAGCTCCTATGTGGAACATGTTCACCACACCGCAAACATGGCCACAATACTCGGACCGTGTCGTGAGTGCACTGAAAAGTGGGAACATCATGGCAGACTGGGATGCACTCATCGCAGAGACCGCTTACTTCATTTTGAAACATCATGACATGAAAGCACCATCAGAGTACGATGATGTAGGAAGGCTTGTCAGCGAGCGTTGGCCTTGCATACTCTTTGAGGAGCATGGCAAAAAACCATGGGTATGTAATACATGTACATATTTATGTCAAAAATTGTTCGCTGATATTATTCACTTACATCACATCCATGCTCATGAACGTCTTAACCAGTTCATGCCGGGATTATTTTGACAAAAAACGGAACAACTTGAAGACGGGGGATTTATTGTCACTCGATCTCAATGCCAGGCGGGTTGCAGCCATCACTCTCGGGTAGCACACTGATATTTCCGGCCTCGCTTGCTGCGAGCAGGTCACTGACAGATATTTCCAGCCTCGCACCCTGCGTGTTCATCTGTCATTCGTTCCAAATACCACAAACCGCTAGCGTGTATACACGCCTCCAGTGCGAACTGGTTTAATGTGGGTGTTCCAGTTTTAGGGCTGTGCCAAATATGCTGCGTATGCGATGATCAACTAAATATTCAAATAGCTTTTTGCCAGTTTGAATATTCGAGGGAAAAAAATCAACTTAAGTGATATTACTGATTGTCTTAATCATAAAGTTTCAGGTAGCACTTTTTTTGTTGACAGTAACTTTTTTCTTGATGGCATTCGTTGTTTTAATATCACATCATTTTAAAGCCTGTTGTGCAGATCTCATTGAGAAAATGTAAAACTGTGTCTTTTGTGCAACATCCAAATTCCATCATCTTTTACCACTTAATATAGTAAACATGTACATGATTTGAAATACCTGATTCGTAAAACATACAGATTAATATTGTTGGATGAATTCCACAAATCTATAAATGCATTACTCATCAAGTCAGTATTAGCTGTAAATGGCATGACATTTTTTCAAACATTGATTGCTCCCATTCCTATAATTCTTCCCGTTACTGTAATTTTCAGAATCACTTTGTAAAGAGACTTTCCCAGAAGATGAGGAACATAAGATGGACCAGAAAAAGGAAGATGGAACAAACCAAACAACCAGCTACAACTAAAAGGACTGCCGTGGCAGCAGCTGATTACAGTTTTGAAGGTGAGATCCCATTATTGAAGTGAGTTGAGGGTGAGGCTTGTTGTAAATGCATTGTTAAATTTAGAATGTCATGCTTTGTATGTATACATGCGCTTTTTATGGTAGTTTCATGCGCTCCCATAAGAATTAGGCGCACCTATAAACAAAGTGCGATGTCGTTAAGGTTCAGGTGTATGTATTTAGGTAAATATAGTAAAAACAATTCAAGTTGAGTAAGTTATTCAAACATTCGGATATCTACATGTATCAATAAGATCATATTTATTAAACATGGCTAACATGCTCTTTCAGCATACAAAAAAAGCTGTAGAAGGAATACCCTGCAGCTTGTCTCCATTGTATTAACTGGCCAGTAGCAACCTGCCCATCTATTTTGGCAAGAAGTTTGCCAGTTTGCCAAGCAGTTGCAATGTACTAGTCAAAATTGCTTGCCAGTTGGGAACAAAATGCACATAACATATTGATACAAAATTATGTTTGGATAACAATGGATCTCATATTTGAGCTTTGAGTGGTTTAGCAGACTAAATGTGATACTTGTCAAGGTCCTTATCAAAGAAAATGGATGAAACAATAATTTCTGAAAGAGACTGCTGACATAAATGTGGCATTAATTGACAATAAACCATGCAAACCAAAACAAAAAGACAATTAAAATACCAAAAAGAACAAATTACATGCATATTTTTGAGATCATGTGCATGTTAACGTGTATTGGGCACAGCCTTTAATGATTAGGTGCTTAATGTTAAACTGTGTTTTTTTTTTTTTTTTGTTGACTGACTTTACACGTGTTGATATAAAACATATTTTAACACATCCCTAAAACCAAAGATACCGGGCTACTTTTTTATGAACAAATTCAGGATGTAGGCAAATTTATTCAAGTAACAGACCAGTTTTTCAATTGTTTTCATAGGCTTTAACTCTTTGTAGATTTGATTTTTCCAAATAATTCCTGTAGCTGATGGAGACAGCCCTGAAGAGCTCTTGAAAGCCGATCTGCTCTCTGAACTGCAGAAGGACAAGCCTGACAAGGCCAAAATTGGACATCTCCAAAAACTGACCTTTAACTTGCGCAAGAGGGAGAAACCGACTTTTCATGACTATCCCTTCCTCTTGGAGGAAAAGTTTGTAAGTTTACACCTTGTTTAACTTTTAACTGCAAGGGAACTGCAAGGGATTTAGAATTTCATTATAAATATAAGACTAATTAAATTATTATTTCCACATTTGATTGAATGTTGTATTTCAACAAAAAAATATTGCTTTATGCCGTAAGAGGATAATTTCAAGTATTAAAACATACATTTTGAGTTGGAAGAAAGGCACAACTTTATCCCACTTGGAAATGAAGAAAATGCTATTAAATTTCATGACTTGCTAACTGACATTTTGCTTGTTATGCATGAGTATTTATGGCCACCCATAATAACTCATTTACTACAACCTGTATTTCAAGTTGTATAATCAATCTGACATGATGTAATTTGTCATAAGCACACATTGTACAGAATGTATTGGGTTTATGTTAGTGCGTTTGTAAACATTTTCTTTTTTGTATGTATTGTATGCAGATAAAGAGGGAATTCTTCCTAAGGCAACCAGAAGTGTCAGAGGCTAGCTTACAGCAAAACTGAACCAGTCTAATCAACATGGTAACGGAGTGCACCAAGCAGGATAGATTTGAGGTAAGTCTTACATGTACTTAAAAAAAACTTACACTCAGTGGATTTGAAGACTAGATAATTCATCATCATTGAAGGTGCTACATGTACTATTGAACTTTGATAGATCTTGGGATGTGTTGTCGCAGGTTATTTTTTAATTAAAGAAATCTAGAGATGTGCCGTTGCAGGATATTTGTAATCTAAAATAAATCTTCGGATTTTTTACTAAAAAAATATTGATAATTGATGGCAATATGTT